TGAGAACGCAGACAGTCTAATAGGTTTATGTCCTGGAATCGTAATGGAATCGTAATCACACCCTGTCACTTTAAACATGGTTATAATGTCCAGTCACGGCTGCTAAGGCTTGACACTGAGACCAATTTCATACAAGAGCTGCACCGCAGTTGTGCCTCCCTTTGCCCCGCTTCTATTGGTCAATTTCCCACTCGAAGCTGCGCGGCCGCATTTTGATCCGTGGCTTCACCCGATTTCCCCCGCAGTTTCATGATCCTGCTTTTTGAGTATTTACTTTTAGGATAAAAAATGTTTTGATGTTTATATACACTGTTAATATGTGAAAGTAATAATATCGATGGCATTTTACAGTTGGGTTTTTATAAATAGAAAAAAAACCATACATGGATACACTAGCACTTTAAATGCCTTTTGCATAGGCAGACTGTGGCTGGTAGCAATTAGCAGTGGAGACTTTATGTTTGGCTTCTAGAATCCAGCTAATACGTTGTGAAGACCTTGGGTTCTGTTATTAGAGAGTCAACAGGGAATTTTTCCTTCAAGAGTTGATAAGTAGAAATATAAGTGACAGTTTTGAATGTAATGGTTAATTATGATTCGGCTACAAGCATGGACGGCTTCAAAAGGGAATTAGATAAGCATATGGAGCAGAGGCCCATCAGTGGCTATTAGCCACAAGGTATAGATAGGGACTCTGGGGCAAGTGATGCTCTGTTTTCTTGGTGCTTGGGGGGGTCAACAGTGGGAGGGCTTCTAGTGTCCTGGCCCCACTGGTGGACCTCCTGATGGCACTGGTATTTCTGACCACTGTGTGATACAGAGTGTTGGGCTGGATGGGCCTTTGGCTTGATCCAACATTGGTGTCTCTTATGTTCTTATGATTTTTAAAGCTATATTTATAACTGAATGTGTGTCTTCTTCCTTCTAGTGATAAGAATTGTGATTGCTACATGCTCAGATAAAGCAATTATTGTGAAACCGATTGTTTACATTGCGCAGCATTCGTTGCGTGTGAGCGATAATAGAAGAGATTTTCTACAGAATTACTACTGTAAATGATTTTGCAAACATATCTTTATTGACTCTTCGTTATTTTTGTCATGGATGTTGTTTTTGGGTTTCTACCACCTGGAAGTCGGCAACCCTATCTGCTGAGCCATAGCCTCTCCCCAGCAGGAGAGATTAGAAAGAGAGACTGCTGAATTGGAATTTATAACAAAGCTGAAGACAATGCACCCTCCTGGACTGAATCGAGAACTAGGTTTCCTGTCTCATTACCAATGCTGATTTCTCCACACCTACTACCTCTCTGCATATCACACCTCTAATCCAATCACACCCTTCTATTGTCATTTGTCTGCTAATGCCATCTGGCATCTGAAATCACTCCACTTTCCAATATATAGGACAGATGGACTCACATTCTAGCTGTATCTGAAGATGTGAGCAGTGACTCACAAAAGTTCATCCTCTGCCACCAATTTTTTTTAGTCTTTGAGGTGCTCCTGGACTCTTGCTCTTCTTCGATCCTGCAGACTATACTTCCAGACTGAAACCTTCCTGGACATTCAGTTGCTGACCAAAGAGTAGCAGTTCTCTTACAAAGGAATTTCAAAGGGAGATCAGAAAGAGAGACTGCTGAATTGCAGCTGATAACGAAGCTCAAGACAATGCACCCACCGGGCCTGAATCGAGACCTTGGTTTCCTGTCTCATTACCAATGCTGATTTCTCCATGCCTGCTACCTCTCTGCATATCGCACCTAATCCAATCGCATTTGCTATTGTCATTTGCCTGCTAATGTCCTTTGGCATCTGAATTCACTCCGTTTAAAATATGTAGGGCAGTCGGACTCACTTCCTCGCTGTATCCGGAGAGGTGAGCAGCGACGCCCGAAAGTTCCTCCCCTGCCACAAATTCTGTGAGTCTGTAGCGCTGCTGGACTCTTGCTCTTTTCTACTGCTACAGACGGACTCACACAGCCACCCAACTGGATCCGTCACCCAGCAAAGCTGATCCCGTGGGGTCACTTTCTCCAGGACGGAAGAAGAGACCAGACCAAGAGATCATTCAAGGCTTTCGTATCTGCCGGATGCCCAGGGAAGGGCCGAGCCAACTGCAAAGCCCCTCTGGCTGCTGCTCGCTTCGTCTTTTGCCTTAAAGAGCCTTGCATCTCCGGAGTGCCAGTCCTCTGTGGGGAGACCTACCAGCTCCTGGCTCTCCTGCGACAGCCCCCAAAGCACCCCGGAGACTGGGAATCGATAGCCGGGCTTCCTGAGCGACAGCCGCAAAAAGCCCACTTTCTGTTGGAATCGATCTCTCGTGAAGGACAGAGACAGAACGGGGATTAGGGATGCCGGGGAGGGTGAAAATCGAGACGTTGGTGGCCATTGGCCAAAAGGGGCTCTTTCCTCGTTCCCAGAAGCTGTGGATCTCCAGCAATAAGCAGGCAGTGCGAACAGACCCTGGGAGCGGCGTTCCCTCTAAGCGGAGTTTAGCGTGACCCGGCTCACGGTTTTTTAGCCTCTGGCTCGCACGTTTTTTTGTCTCCGCTCAGGAAGGAGAGCTCCAGAGTCGATGCAGCAGCCCAATCGCCCGCTCGCAACTTTAACGCCAGCGGCTCACAAAGTAGAATTCGCTCTTTTTGTAGCAGGGACTCCTTTGCATATTTGGCGACACACCCCTAATGTAGCCAATCCTCCAAGAGCTTACAGAGCTCTTCTTACAGGGGCTACTGTAAGCTCTTGGAGGACTGGCTACATTAGGGGTGTGTCGCCACCTAATATGCAAAGGAGTTCCTGCTACAAAAAGAGCCCATTGCCTGGGAGGTTATAGAAACATCTGTGGGCAGAGCGGCTCCCTCTGGCCCTTTGCAGAGGGGCCTGCAGAAAGCCGCCAGATCAGTCGGAGCCACATGCCTTTCTCTCTTCCGAGCTGCCGTCGTCATCCCTTCTGGGGTGGGGTTGCCATCAGAGAAACACAGAGCTGGAAGGGACCCCAAGGGGTCATCTAGGCCAACCCACTGCACAACCACAGGAAATTCACAACTACCTCTTCCCCCATTCCCCCAGCGACCACAGCCCTATGCACAGAAAAAGGCAAAACACCAGGTTGGGAAACTCCTGGAGCTTTGGGGATAGAGTCACACAGGGCTCTTTTTGTAGAAAAAGCCCAGCAGGAACTCATTAGCATAATAGGCCACGCCCAACAGCAGAAACTCATTAGCATATTAGGCCACAGCCCTGCCAGCACAGCTCATTAGCACATTAGGACGCACCCCCATTTTACCAGGTGTGCTCATCCAGCCACGCCCACCTTTTGCTTGTTATTCTGTTTACCTTGTTTGTTGTCAAAACCCAGGGCCTTTTTTTGGAGCAGGAACTCCTTTGCATGTTAGGCCACACACCCCTAATGAAGCCAATCCGAAAGGGATTTCTGCTGTTGGGTGTGGCCTATTATGCTAATGAGTTCCTGCTGGGCGTGGCCAACTTGGGAGCCAGCCGGAACTCCGGTCCTGTGCGTTCCTGCCCCAAAATAGCCCTGGAGTCACAGGAGAGTGGGGTCTCTCTTGGGTGCAATGCCCTAGAATCCCCCCTCCAGAGCAGCCGTTTTCTCTAGGGGAACTGATCTCTGTCATCTGGTGGTGAGTTGTGATGCAGGGGGGGGTGTATCCAGGCCCCACCTGGAGATTTCCAGAGAGCCATGCTCAGAGGTCATTTCGGGGGGGATCGCGG